TATATATGAATTCACAATTATTAAATATTGTTGAGTGTGGTCATAGAATGAGTAAACATGGTGTGATAACAGTGAATTTAGGTCTACAATATAAATCCAATTGCAGTTGTTAGAGAAAGCTGCACTACAATGTTGCAATGACAAAATATTGCGCTAAATTTAAAGTTCAAATGTTAAAAACAAGTTACAATATTGATGTTGTAGTACTGGTAGCACTAATATAACAATTTTATATGTTACAATAAAGTAACACTTCTGAAATACGTTGTTTTTGTATTTTATCTCAGTGTTCCTATCAGTGCTGTATAAGGGGTTTTATGCACAGCAGTAACCCTAGAATATGATCAAACTGTTTAAAATAGCTGGGTTGAGATATATAACAACTTTATGACTGCAGAAATATGTTAATTCAGTAAATACATCATTCCACCAGCCACAAAAGAATTTTCACACACTTTTCCAAGACAATTATTATTGATTATTTCAATGGGTAACTAATGACACATCATCTGGATATTTTCATGTTTGAAAATTTTTTGGGATTAAACTGGTTAAGTAGGAAAATAGTGTGTAAAATAATGCAAAGGGACAACTGTAAACACTCAAATTTCTGTTAAATTCAGAGCTGATAACCGACCGCTCATCCAGAGCCGCTCTGCCATTCAGGAAAAGTTCCTGAAATAAGACGAATTGCTCTGAAGGGAATAAACAGTGTTGTAAAGTGTAATTCTGTTCCATGCCAAAGGTCACCTGACCCAGATAAACACAGCGGCGGCCCGTTCAAAAGTCCACTGGCTTGTAAATGGACACCGGCGGCTTTAATCGTCCTCACTCATTAATCGCTGCAGCGTCTATAACAACAGACTCAAAGATTTCACCGCAGATGATAGTAACGGTGGATCATGTGACTGCTGAATGCCTCTTACACAAACATCTCAACTCACACTAGATTATATTTCTGCACTTTAACAGGAATATCTGGATTCTAAATGAACACAAAGCTCATTTGAAGGGGTGTTGAATTGCATGTCGTGTGATCGAGGGGAGAGTCTGTGATGTTTTCGTGACTACATGCATCATGTACTGTGTGTTACTATCATGCACTTGTTCTTTTTTTTTTTAAAGCCTTGATTTGGTAGCAGAGATTGCAGGCTCAGTGAGAGAGATTGTCACCTGAACTACATTAGAGCTGGATCTTTTCCAGCTATTATTCCAAATGAAAACCCTCATAAACTATATGCTGTAAACTAGAAATGCATATTATTAGTAACATAAAAATATGTTGCTTAAAATAGTTTTTTAAACTTTCATAAGGGCAATGCATTTAAACCAGAGATATCAGGAAGAAATCCTTATCAGGAATAAGTCCTGAATAAATAGAATAGAATATAGAACAAAATAGAGAATAGAATAGAATAGAATAGAACAGAACAGAACAGAACAGAACAGGAAAGGACAGGACAGGACAGGATCAAATAAAGTAGAATATAACAGAACAAAATAAAGTAGAATAGAATGGGATATATCTAAATAAAATAGAATAGAACAGGATATATATCAAAATAAGAAAGAACAGAACAGAATAGAACAGAACATAAGATATTAAAATAGAACAGAATACAGAACAAGATAGAATAGAACAGGATATATTGACATAAAATAGAACAGAACAGAGCATATGATACTAGAGTAGAATAAATTAGAATAGAATAGAATAGAATAGAACAAAACAGGACATAACTGGAAAAAATAAGAGTAGAGAAGAGAACAAAATAAAATAGAATAGAACAGAACAGGACAGGACAGGACAGGATAAAACAGAGTAGAATATAACAGAACAAAATAAAGTAGAAGAGAATGGGATATATCAAAATAAGATAGAACAGGATCGAACAGAACATAAGATATTAAAATAGAATAGAATACAGAACAAGAAAGAATAGAACAGGAAATAACAGGATAGAATAGAACAGGATATATTGACATAAAATAGAACAGAACAGAACATATGATATTAGAGTAGAATAGATTAGAATAGAATAGAACAAAACAGGACATAACTGGAAAAAATAAGAGTAGAGAAGAGAACAGAACAAAATAAAATAGAATATAATTGACCAGAATATATCACAATAAAATAGAACAGAAAAGATTATATTAGAACAGAACAGAATAGAATAGAACAGAACAGAACAAGATAGCAATAGAACAGAATAGAACAAGATATCAAAATAAAATAGAATAGGACAGAACAGAAGAGAACAGAACAGAACAGAACAGAACAGGATGTGTCAAAATAAAATAGAATTGAACAGATCACAAGACATTAGAATAGAATAGATTAAAATAGAATAGAATATAATATGATATATCAAAATAAAATAGAACAGAATATATTAGAACAGAATAGAACAGAACAAGATATTAGAATAAAATAGAACAGGATATATCAAAATAAAATAAAATGGAATAGAACAGAATATATTTGAATTGAATAGAATAGAACAGAACAGAACAGGATGTGTCAAAATAAAATAGAATTGAACAGATCACAAGACATTAGAATAGAATAGATTAAAATAGAATATAATATAATATGATATATCAAAATAAAATAGAACAGAATATATTAGAACAGAATAGAATAGAACAGAACAGAACAGGACGTGTCAAAATAAAATAGAACAGAACAAGATATTAGAATAAAATAGAACAGGATATATCAAAATAAAATAAAATGGAATAGAACAGAATATATTTGAATTGAATAGAACAGAATATATTAGAACAGAATAGAACAGAACAAGATATTAGAATAAAATAGAAAAGGATATATCAAAATAAAATAAAATGGAATAGAACAGAATATATTTGAATTGAATAGAATAGAACAGAACAGAACAGGATGTGTCAAAATAAAATAGAACAGAACAAGATATTAGAATAAAATAGAAAAGGATATATCAAAATAAAATAAAATGGAATAGAACAGAATATATTTGAATTGAATAGAACAGAATATATTAGAATAGAATATAAGAACAGAATAAAATAGATTAGAATAGAATAGAACAGAACAGGATAAAATAGACTACAACAGAACAGAATAAAAAAGTATAAAACAGAACAGAATAGAATAGAACAGGCATAACAGGACAAAATAGAATTGAACAGAGTGTAAAATACGAAAATAGAATAGAATACAGAATAGAATATCAGCACGCTGTACCATGGGAAAAGTAAAAATAGAATTGAACAGAGTGTAAAATATGAAAATAGAATAGAATACAGAATAGAATATCAGCACGCTGTACCATGGGAAAAGTCAAAATAGAATTGAACAGAGTGTAAAATGCGAAAATAGAATAGAATACAGAATAGAATATCAGCACGCTGTACCATGGGAAAAGTCAAAATAGAATTGAACACAGTGTAAAATATGAAAATAGAATAGAATACAGAATAGAATATCAGCACACTGTACCATGGGACAGTTCCCCTGAATGTGGTTTGGTATATATTTTGGACAGTGAGCTGTATTTAGAGCTCAACACTCGTCAGTCAGATGTTATATGATTAGTTCACTCAAAAATAATAATTCTGTCATCATTTACTCACCCTCATGTCGTTCCAAACCCATATGACTTTCTTTCTTCTGTGGAATGTGATGATGAGGATGATGATGCTGAAGATGTGGGGTCAGACCTCATCGCTCCACCATTCTCAATCTCAAGAATCTTCATATTGTTAATGTCCATCTGACTGTGTAAATGAGGGAGAGTTTATAATACTTGCAGTCATTTCATTTAGATGATAAATAGCTGTATGGCTTCTCTGCAAACCTGATACACACCTAACATCCCCCGCGGTTAATGGACACCGAACAGCCCAGTCAGTATTCAGCACTCAGCATCATGAGTGTATGGTGACAGGATAAACATATTATATATCATACCATGATAACAATATCAAGATTTCAAAGTATTCACATGATATTTGTAGGCACTTTCAATAAGGATTTTCAATCTTTTAGACCCACGAACCCCCAACGAATCCACCTCATGTGAAGGTCCCACATCCTAAAATGTATATTTTTACATATAAAAGCCCAATTTATACTAATGTAAACTGATATACTATAGCAATTAAAATATTATTTAGTAAATTTATAAATATTTAGTATCAAATTAAGGTTTTTGGCTAGTAATAGTGTACGGTTAATTTATTTATTTAAATCAATTTTTATATTGTTTACTTTTTATTTTAATCAAATTGTATTGTTAACTTGATTATTGTAATGTAATTTGTTTTATTTATTTTAACCTATTTTTTATTCTTAACTTAATTGTTTTAATATAATTTGAATTTCTTTTAATCTAACTTTCTTTTCTTTTTTCCTTTTTCTTTCTTTCCCACAGACCTCAGAATGAAATAAAAACCCCAGTTTTAAAAAGTACTTGTCACTTACAAAAAAAGAAAAGAAAAAAGTCAAGGAAGATAGAGTGAAGTGCCGTCTGCATAGAAATGATAAGATAAGTTGTGTCTCTAAATAATATGACCCAGAGGAATCATATATCATGCAAAAAGAAAAGGGCCCAAAACGGAACCCTGTGGAACACCGTAAGAGATCTGAGCACAAGATGAGAAACATTCCCCTACATTAACAGAAAAAGTTTTCTCAGTTCTCAGAAAAGTTATTACAATTTAACACGATACATTGACAATTCCATGCTTTTTTTTATTTAATTTTTTTATATATGCAATGGTAATATTACAGTATATTTGTTTGTTAGTTTGTTCCATAAAACGGTACTTTTGTGTCCTTTCATAAATCCATGGTTTTATTTGTAGTACATTTGAGAATCATGTTTGCAGTGTTACTATGCTATAACCATTTGATAAGACATTTGAAATCTTGATTTTAGATTAATATTCTGTAACTCTACAAAGTTAATGATGTGCATGATCTTTAACTAGAGACAGGCAGACAGACAGACACATTAACAATGAAAGTTTTATTATTCATTTAGCAATCATAAATAGGCTATGCAAAAACAATGTTGATATGGGAAACATTTGCATGAATTATTAATTGGAGTACTTCAGAACATTAAATTCCTTCATTATACAAAACAGTAAGCACCTGCCACAAAGAGTATCAGGTCATAGAGACAATTAAACAACAAAAACATAATTCAGGGAAGTAAATTTGATCTAGAATGATATTGAATGTCCAGAAGCACCTTGATAAATATAAAAAGGTAGATCCAAATCTTCAACAGTCTGTACAAACGTCACATGAAAAATGTGCACGGTAAAAGTGGCTGTATAGTTACAAGTGGATCACATTTTGGGATCGTAATCGAACAGAAAATAGCTTCAGTGTATGTAGTCCAGCAGATCTGAGGAATCTGCATTAAGCTTATGACTATAGAAGGCATTCGTCAGACAGACTCGCACTAAAGCAGCATAAGGCGCATGAGCTGCGACAGGCACTCAGTGTTATCTGTGCACTATATTTGGAAGCACAAATATGTTATCAGCATCAGCATTCGAGTTTTGAAAGGACAAACCCATGCATACGTGCATGTGCATATGAAAACATAGATGTATGTACATGATAAAGGTGATAAAGCCACATGCACACTCTGGGTTATCCAGCATTACTGCAGTAAAAGGCACCGGATGCTTTGACCTGCATCGCAGTCAAACATCTTTCAAATATTTGGCATTGCGAGCCGATGGCGAGGATCTCAACTCAAACTGCAATGTCGTTTTTTGTTCAGATTACTCCACGGAGCCAGGGATTTCGAAGCCGGGTTGCGGCGTGACGCGCAGCATACAGCGCTTGTGTTTCATGGTCAGCCCGTACTCTGGTGTCATATCCAGCATTTCTCCTGGCATCCCGCTGAACTTTAACCTCTGGAGAAGGATGGCCAGGAACAGGAAGACCTCGGCACGTCCGATGGACTCTCCAATGCAGCGCCGCTTCCCAAGCCCAAAAACCAACACCTTCTCTCCTTCCATCTTATTCAGGTCCGTACCGTCTGCGGTGAGGAATCGGTCAGGGTTGAAGCTCGAAGGGTCCTTCCACAGTTCTCTGCAAGAAGAAACAGACAGTTCAGCTTCGTTTAAGAGTGCATTGCACCATTTACCATCCACATTTAAGTCCAGTGTTGGGGGTAATGCAAGTTACGTAATCAGATTACTTTTTTCAAGTAACTAGTAAAGTAGCGCATTGTTTTAAATTAGAAGGAAATATCTGAGTTACTTTTTCAAAAAAGTAACGCCAGTTACTTTGTTTCCCATGCATTGGCTGACAGCTCTGGTGTTGCCATGGTGACAGAAATCAGGAGTCAGTGCAGAGCGTTGTGTATGAACATGATCTTACTGTAGCTCTAGACTAAATATGAACATGTTTACTCATCTCACCTGCACAAAAATACATTCAGTGTTCCTCAAAATGAATAAAAACAGTCAAATGCAAACTCGGAATATGATGCAAACCTGCACTAATTAAATATGTTAAATAAGACGAATATCATTTATTTATTGAATACAATTTTATTAACTAATGTCTTTGCTGCTGAGCTCCGATGATCCAATTCAACCATACTAATAAGTAAAAATTACACATTTGTGTTTGATTTTTGTTATCGCTGAATAGTGTTGAACTTTCTTCTCCTGCGTCATATTCTTCATGTGATTAGTTTGAGCTGCGCCCTCTACTGTACAGACGTGAATTTACATTTCCTTCAGCCTGAGGCGCATTCATTTCACTTTTGTTGCGAAAGGGCTTTTGCATAGAACTTTTTTAGATTAAAAACAAACAAGCAAGCCCCGCCCAGATTTGAAAAGTAACGCAAAAGTAACGTAACACATTACTTTCCATAAAAAGTAACTAAGTAACGTATTTTTTAGGGAGTAACGAAATATTGTAATGCATTACTTTTAAAAGTAACTTTTTTATGGTCATTATGAGAAACTTACGGGTCATGGTTGACTTGCCACTGGTTTACAAACACACAGGTGTCTTTGGGAATGAAATATCCATTGAGCGACGTGTCTTTAGACGTACTGAAAGAGTAAAACACAAGCAGTCATTGGCACGGCCAACTTTGGTAAACACCGCAGCGTTGTTTACAGGCGTCCATCTTCAGTAACTTAATTCACATGCGGTTTTATTTAATGCAAGGACGCTGTTCTCAGCTCACCAGTGAGGAATGGTGAAAGGAAGGAAGGACGAATGACGGAAGATCTCCAGAATGAAGGCCTCGAGAAGCGGCAAGTCCGTTCTGTCCGACAAGAGTGGCGTACGGTCCGTTCCGATCTTTTCCTCTAGAAAGATTTTAACAACATTTGTCAGATTGGAAGATTTGAAAGCCAGTTGCAGTGGAGTAAATCTACCTAGTCTCTTAAAAATAAAGGTGCTTTACTGGCATCGATGGTTCCATGAAGAACCTTTAACAACCATGCACTCTTAAGGTTACAAAAGACCACTTTCACACAGCAATTCCATAGAAGAACCTTTTTTTTGCATCAGAAAGGTTCTATGGATATTAAAGGTTCTTCACGGAACCTTCAATGCCAATAAAGGAGCTTTACAAGGTTCTTTATAGTGTAAAAGGGTTTCTTCACATCTTCAAAATGTTCTGCAGACTAAGAAATAAATGGTTCTTTTAAAGACTGATCACTGAAAGATTTTATGGGGAACCAAAAATGGTTCTTCCATTGTATTGCTGCCAAAATCCAAAGTATTTTTTAAAGAGATAACAATATTTTAATATACTCTTAAAAGGAGGTTTTCACTGCATTAGAATCTTTTAGTGAATAGCTCTTAAAATAACCTTTTTTCTTATTGTGATAAAAATTGTACTAATCTAAAGAGCCTTTTTCCTCGGCAAAGAACCTTTTGTGCAATGGAAAGGTCTTAAAAAGTTCTTCATGGAACCATTAATGCCAATACAGAACTTTAATTTTTAAAAGTGGAAGAACCTTTTCCACTATAAACTCTTAAAAATAAGGGTTCTTTATGGGAATATAGTTTAATTTTATAGTGGAAAAAGGTTCTTTCGATTTCTAAAATGTTCTTCGAGGAACCAACATTTGTTCTTCTTTGGCATCACTGCGAAACCCCCTTCAGGAAACCTTAATTTTTAAGACAGAAAGACATAAAGAGAGAGATACTCACTCAGCTCTCTTTGCAGTCGCTCCTGGATCTCAGGGTAGGCCACTAGATAGACGACACCCCAAGACAGAGCTGTACTGATAGTGTCGGATGGCGAGGATCTCAACTCAAACTGCAATGTCGTTTTTTGTTCAGATTACTCCACGGAGCCAGGGATTTCGAAGCCGGGTTGCGGCGTGACGTGCAGCATACAGCGCTTGTGTTTCATGGTCAGCCCGTACTCTGGTGTCATATCCAGCATTTCTCCTGGCATCCCGCTGAACTTTAACCTCTGGAGAAGGATGGCCAGGAACAGGAAGACCTCGGCACGTCCAATGGACTCTCCAATGCAGCGCCGCTTCCCAAGCCCAAAAACCAACACCTTCTCTCCTTCCATCTTATTCAGGTCCGTACCGTCTGCGGTGAGGAATCGGTCAGGGTTGAAGCTCGAAGGGTCCTTCCACAGTTCTCTGCAAGAAGAAACAGACAGTTCAGCTTCGTTTAAGAGTGCATTGCACCATTTACCATCCACATTTAAGTCCAGTGTTGGGGGTAATGCAAGTTACGTAATCAGATTACTTTTTTCAAGTAACTAGTAAAGTAGCGCATTGTTTTAAATTAGAAGGAAATATCTGAGTTACTTTTTCAAAAAAGTAACGCCAGTTACTTTGTTTCCCATGCATTGGCTGACAGCTCTGGTGTTGCCATGGTGACAGAAATCAGGAGTCAGTGCAGAGCGTTGTGTATGAACATGATCTTACTGTAGCTCTAGACTAAATATGAACATGTTTACTCATCTCACCTGCACAAAAATACATTCAGTGTTCCTCAAAATGAATAAAAACAGTCAAATGCAAACTCGGAATATGATGCAAACCTGCACTAATTAAATATGTTAAATAAGACGAATATCATTTATTTATTGAATACAATTTTATTAACTAATGTCTTTGCTGCTGAGCTCCGATGATCCAATTCAACCATACTAATAAGTAAAAATTACACATTTGTGTTTGATTTTTGTTATCGCTGAATAGTGTTGAACTTTCTTCTCCTGCGTCATATTCTTCATGTGATTAGTTTGAGCTGCGCCCTCTACTGTACAGACGTGAATTTACATTTCCTTCAGCCTGAGGCGCATTCATTTCACTTTTGTTGCGAAAGGGCTTTTGCATAGAACTTTTTTAGATTAAAAACAAACAAGCAAGCCCCGCCCTTTTTTAGGGAGTAACGAAATATTGTAATGCATTACTTTTAAAAGTAACTTTTTTATGGTCATTATGAGAAACTTACGGGTCATGGTTGACTTGCCACTGGTTTACAAACACACAGGTGTCTTTGGGAATGAAATATCCATTGAGCGACGTGTCTTTAGACGTACTGAAAGAGTAAAACACAAGCAGTCATTGGCACGGCCAACTTTGGTAAACACCGCAGCGTTGTTTACAGGCGTCCATCTTCAGTAACTTAATTCACATGCGGTTTTATTTAATGCAAGGACGCTGTTCTCAGCTCACCAGTGAGGAATGGTGAAAGGAAGGAAGGACGAATGACGGAAGATCTCCAGAATGAAGGCCTCGAGAAGCGGCAAGTCCGTTCTGTCCGACAAGAGTGGCGTACGGTCCGTTCCGATCTTTTCCTCTAGAAAGATTTTAACAACATTTGTCAGATTGGAAGATTTGAAAGCCAGTTGCAGTGGAGTAAATCTACCTAGTCTCTTAAAAATAAAGGTGCTTTACTGGCATCGATGGTTCCATGAAGAACCTTTAACAACCATGCACTCTTAAGGTTACAAAAGACCACTTTCACACAGCAATTCCATAGAAGAACCTTTTTTTTGCATCAGAAAGGTTCTATGGATATTAAAGGTTCTTCACGGAACCTTCAATGCCAATAAAGGAGCTTTACAAGGTTCTTTATAGTGTAAAAGGGTTTCTTCACATCTTCAAAATGTTCTGCAGACTAAGAAATAAATGGTTCTTTTAAAGACTGATCACTGAAAGATTTTATGGGGAACCAAAAATGGTTCTTCCATTGTATTGCTGCCAAAATCCAAAGTATTTTTTAAAGAGATAACAATATTTTAATATACTCTTAAAAGGAGGTTTTCACTGCATTAGAATCTTTTAGTGAATAGCTCTTAAAATAACCTTTTTTCTTATTGTGATAAAAATTGTACTAATCTAAAGAGCCTTTTTCCTCGGCAAAGAACCTTTTGTGCAATGGAAAGGTCTTAAAAAGTTCTTCATGGAACCATTAATGCCAATACAGAACTTTAATTTTTAAAAGTGGAAGAACCTTTTCCACTATAAACTCTTAAAAATAAGGGTTCTTTATGGGAATATAGTTTAATTTTATAGTGGAAAAAGGTTCTTTCGATTTCTAAAATGTTCTTCGAGGAACCAACATTTGTTCTTCTTTGGCATCACTGCGAAACCCCCTTCAGGAAACCTTAATTTTTAAGACAGAAAGACATAAAGAGAGAGATACTCACTCAGCTCTCTTTGCAGTCGCTCCTGGATCTCAGGGTAGGCCACTAGATAGACGACACCCCAAGACAGAGCTGTACTGATAGTGTCGAAACCTGTCAATGAGCACGGACACGCTTTAATATCATGCAAAGATTGAAAATTATTCAGTTTTCCCAGTGCTCACCAGCTCCGAAGAGATCATTGACGATTCCGACGATCTTCTCATCGGACACTTGGACGTTTGAGTTCTCATCCAGTTTCCGGTCTTCGCAGTGGTTGATGAGTGAATCGGTGATGTCTCGGATGTTATCCTGAAAAAAATATCACATCTGTGACCTTAAGTCGCTGGGGGATATTTGTAGCAATAGCCAACAATACATTGTATGGGTCGAAATTATAGATTTTTCTTTAATGCCAAAAATCATCAGGATATTAAGTAAAGATCATGTTCCATGAAGATATTTTGTAAATGTCCTTCCGTAAATATATCAAAACTTAATTTTTGATCAGTAATATGCATTGCTAAGAACTTCATTTGAACAACTTTAAAGATGATTTTCTCAATATTTTGATTTTTTGCACCCTCAGATTCCAGATTTTCAAATATTGTCCGATCCTAACAAACCATACATCAATGGAAAGCTTATTTATTCAGCTTATTTCAGATGATGCATAAATCTCAATTGACCCTTATGACTGGTTTTGTGCTCCAGGATCACATATGAAAAGCATAAAAGGGAAAGCGATCTGATGGACAAGTCTGAGAGCTCCCACCTTGTCGAAGGTGTTGTAATGTTCACTGACGATCTTCTTCACCAACTTGCTGAAGCGATCGTTGATGTCCAAGAACTTCTTCATCGTTGTGCTGGGCAGGATACGCAAGAAAGGGATGAAATCCGCAGGATTGCCACTTCCCACGATCTTCCCGAACTCGTCGCTCAGGTTGACCAAGCTCACCAGCTCGTCGTCATCGTGGTTGTAGCGCCGGCCGAAGCAAATCCCGCAGATCACGTTGGCCACAGACACCACGATGTGCCGGAAGGGATCGAAGCACCCGTCGGCCTTCATGACGTTGTGAAGCCTTTCAATCAGATAGAGACCTTCCTTGCTGATGTGCTCCTCAAGGGCACATGAATACTCTGAGCTTTCGCCTTGCACCGTGGAAAATGTTCGCAGGGCGCTGAGGGCCAGCTTGCGACGGGCGCGCCAGACACCCACCTGATCCGTACTAAAGGCCAGGCTCTTTCCGTCGCTGATGAACTTACTGCTATAGAGATCCGGACGTCCGGCGAACTCCTCACCTTGTTTGATGAGAGCTTGACGGATCACGTCGTTTCCGCTGAGTACTACAACGGGACGCATGCCCATCTGGATCTGGAAGACGGGGCCGTAGCACTTACTCATAGCGGTCAGGCTCAGATGTGGGTTGTTTCCCACTTCCAGAACATTTCCGATAATGGGAAGAGGCTTCGGTCCCGGCAGCTTCTGGAGCCCTTCAGGGATCTTAGTACGCATGAGGCGCATCAGCAGATACACCACACATATCGTGATGATGGCCACGAGGCTCTCAGACACAGAAATCGGGCCCAACATGGGAAGAACCGTAAGAGGCATGGCTATCTGCTCTGTTTCCCTCAACAATCTTTGCTCTTGCAGACACTGAACAGGTTACCTGCTTAAAACAAAAGAGAGATCAATAAGACTGACTGTTAACCTTAGATGGAGAGAGAATAGTGCAGTAACACGTCTTGCACGAATGATACTGAAAAAGGTGCGTCTCTCTGCAACTTGTTTTTTGGTAATGTTGCATTGCATGTGCATGCATGAGTTTTTTAGTGCATGCATGCAACTAACAGATCTGTTTTTGCAGTTTAACCAGTGCATGTTGTTTGGTTATTTGCATTTTGCGAAATTCATTAATGATAAACTACAGGTGAAGTGATTTGTCTCAAGGTCAGAGCACATATCTGAGACACATACACACACACACACACACACACTTTAATTTACTGTAATAAAACTAAGAAACTTTAAAACTTTAAATATTGATTTAAAATCTTTAGTCAAATATATATATATATGAAAATAACCTATTCATTGCTATTGAAGTGGAATTACTGACGGTTATTTGCATTTTGCGAAATTCATTAATGATAAACTACAGGTGAAGTGATTTGTCTCAAGGTCAGAGCACATATCTGAGACACATACACACACACACACACACACACACACTTTAATTTACTGTAATAAAACTAAGAAACTTTAAAACTTTAAATATTGATTTAAAATCTTTAGTCAAATATATATATATATGAAAATAACCTATTCATTGCTATTGAAGTGGAATTACTGAACCTACACATAGGAGCCTGATAAAAATGCTTATTTTAGAAGAAACTTTATGGCACTTTATGGCTTTTGCATGTGAACTCTTCATATAATATATATATAAATATAATATATATATATATATATATTTAAAGACCATACATGTTTATCTATATATCCATTTTCTAAAATCTAATGCACACCAGTCAATGAACAAGTAGTACAATATTGTGTAAAAGAAGTAAGAAGAGTTCATTTTTTATATATTTTTGTGTAAAAAAAAAAAAAAAGATTGAAATTGAAAATTGAAATCAAATCAAATGTTCTCTAAAAGAAAGCAGCATTGCCATCAGACTTACCCAGAGCGATCGGACGAATATTTCTCCTCTTCTCAGCTGAATCTGTCTATTCAGAGTTAATTAGCTCCAGAGGAGTGCTGCAGTGTTCCAGCGGGGAAAACTTTTATAGAGAAGCGCTCGTGGCGATTGGTTGCTCTTCACGTGACGTCACGAAGAGCTGGAGGCTTTGTGAATGGGAGAGAATCAGTGACAGGAGTGAGGTTTTATTACAGGGGGATCGATCCCTCGTCGCAACATTAACGGAGAAAAACTGCGGGAGTAATTAGAGACTTAAGTTCTCTTGCGTTTCCAAACACACATATCTAAATGATGTGACTACATATATATATATATGTATATATGTGTGTGTGTGTGTGTGTGTGTGTGTGTGTGTGTGTGTGAGAGTGTGAGTGTGTGTGTGTGTGTGTGTGTGTGCATGTTTATG